TTGTGCAAGTACTACTTGATCGTCTGCAAACCTTAACATATATAGGTATTCGTTCCGTACCGGTAGGTATTCCCATGCTTTCGCATTTTCTTTTACAAGTAGTCAGGGCTTTCTTTAAGTATATCTTGAATAGGGTTGGAGATGTGGAGCAACCTTGCAGGAGCCCTTTTATTGTGGTGAAGTCTCCTATGATTCTTGTTCCCACTTTAATGGACACAATATTTATACAGTTTTCTTTATACAGAGTTTTGTAGTTTCTATGAGTTCCATTTGTATTTCTAATTTGTAAATTGCCTCCCATAGTTCTGACCTTGGTACAGAGTCATACGCCTTCCTTAGGTCTACAAATGCCAAATGTATATCTTTATTTTTTGTTTTTTTACTGTTGTTCCAGTGTGTATATGTGGCCTATGCATGATCTTCCTGCCGTCAAGCCTGCCTGATCCTACTTGATTTTGCCTTTTATCGCTGGCTCTATCTTTTCTCGCTGTATCGTCCCATATAATCTTCCTATTGATGACCTTACGTTTATTCCTCTGTAGTTTTCGCATCGTTTTCTATCTTCTTTCTTAAATATAGATGTCATATATGCCTCCGTCCATTCTTTTGGGAGCTGTTCTCCATTTATGGCTTTATGAAATATCCATTGTATAATCCGGTGTAATTTTTTTGAGCTGTATTTTATAAGCTGACGTAAGATGCCTCCAGACCCCGGTGCTTTCTTATTTTTGATTGCTTTTATGGTCGTTCTGATTTCCCTATCTATTATTTCTATTTCTTGTTGTGGGGATCTGCTTCGTCTTCGTCTGTTTTCTTTTTCAATGAATTGTGGACTTTTTTCTGTTAACAGTTCCTTGTAATAGTACTTCCATTCTTTGTCCTGTACATTTCCCAATGTAATTTTTTCTTTTGAGGTTTGTTTCAATCCTCTCAGTACTTTCCATGACTCCGTTCTTGTACCTCCTATGTATGTTCCAATATTTAAGCACGTTCTTTCCTATTCCTTCATCGTTTTGTTGTGTTATTTGTTTTTTCAGTTTTCTATCTTTTTCTCTATACCTAATCTTTATAAACTTCATTGTTGTTTTTATTCAGTCATTTTTTGTACAGTTACTTTTTTCTTCAATTATTCTTTTTGTTGGTTCATTTATTTCATAATAGTGCTGTTTATTTGTTATAATGTTCTTTCTCTCCAAGGGCTTTTAATACTGCTTGTTTTGTACTTGCCTTTATATGCTCGTATATTTCTTCGATGTTGCGTATCTAAATTCTAATAATTTTTGGTCTATACGTTGTTGGTATAGTTCTCTTATTGATTGTTCTTGGAATAGTTCTATATTGTATTGTTTTTCTCTTATAGTGCTCAACGGTTATTCTGTAGAGAAGGTCTTGTGATGTTTCCAATTAATGCCCATTTTTACTGTCAGTAGTTTATTGTCCGTTCCACATTCTACTTCTATTCTGACACGCACATATTTGATCTTTATTGTGGTACCTTGTTTGTAACACCATTATAGTACAACACAACAGGTCACACATTTAATGTATCAGATGACAAAATCTTGGATATAGAGAACCACTATCAAAATACTGTTACTCGAAATGTGCCACATCAACAAAAATAAAAAGTCAATTAATTACAAAAAACAGACACTTGCAAGTTAAGCGATATGTATTGTAATAGGTATTTTAAAATTCTGATAAACTAAAAATATTCAACATCTGGTTCTATAATAAAACTCGTTGGCCCTAACGACACAATATAAAAGAATAGACCAGAATCAGTGCCGCTGCCGCTTTTTACGTTGGTAGAACGACATGAGCTTCGATACAATTTGTATTATAAAATAAAATACAGATACAAATATTAGAATATTGTAAATATTATACAGTGTTATGTATACTAGTTTTTAGTGAAAGGTAATTCTTTTTATTATCGTTCAATAACAATTAAGTAGTACAATAATTGTATTAATTCGTGAATATTCTGTATTATTGCCTAGAATTAATTTGAAGAAGAAATGAATTCGAGTGTCAAGCAAAGAATTGAAATACTCATGATGATTGGGTATGGAGACAAATCGCGAACTCAGATGGAAGTGTGTAATTTATTTAATGATAAATATTCAGAAACACTTATAACGCAGTCAACAGTAAGTAAAATTGAAAAGAAATTTCGAGAAACTGGTACCGTTGAAAATTCACGCAAATCAGGTCGTCACTCTGTAAATTATCATACAACATTAGATGTTCAACTTACTTTTGAAGAAGATGGGCAAAACAACGGTACACAAAGTAATAAAACTTGACAAATGGCACCCCTTTAGATGCACACTTGTACATAAATTAAACGAGGATGATTCAGATAAAAGAATACAATTTTGCAAAATAATGATGGATAACTGCCACCAAACCCCTTGGTTCAAAATATTATTTTTTCTGATGAGGCTACATTCACATCAAATAACGAGGTCAATAGTCAGAATTGTAGATAATGGTCAAAAGAAAACCCCAACTGGATGCGGAAACATCATAGGTACACAATAACAGCAAAAGGTAAACGTATGGGCTGGCATTATAAGAAATAGAATCATTGGACCCTACTTTTTCGAAGGTAATTTAAACGGGCCAGCATACCTTCAGATTTTAAGAGAGTATCTCGTACCTACTTTAATTAATTCATTTTCCAGTAGAAATATTCCTGGAGGTTTTGATGAAAGTTTAGGGTGTCAATAGGATGGTGCACGATTTAAATGATAAAGTTATAGAAAAAGTTGAAGAGTATATATACTTAGGACAAAAAATAATCCTAAATAGGGAAATTCAAACTGAAGAAATAAGAAGAAGAAGAAAGTTGGCTTGGGCAGCATTCGGTAAACTGAACTATATACTCAGAAATCAACAAATTCAATTACATCTTAGATCTAAAGTTTTTGATGCATGCATTATTCCGATATTAACTTATGCGGCACAAACATGGACAATCACAAAAAAGAATATGAATATACGCGAGTCACTCAACACGCGATGGAAAGAACAATGCTAGGTATATCACTTGAGGACAAGAAAACAATCACATGGATAAGACAGAAAACCAAAGTCACCGATGTGGTGCAAAAATCATTAAAGTTGAAATGGGAATACGCTGGACATATAGCTAGGAGCGATCTAAACAAATGGCACAGATCAATTTTAACCTGGAGACCATACCAACACAAAAGACCCAGAGGCAGACCTCCTATGGGATGAACAGATGATCTGAAAAGGACTGCCGGGAAAAATTGGCTACAAGTAACGTACAATAAAATACAATGGAAAGGAAGACTTAAAGAGGCTTATGTTCAGATGTGGACGTGAATGGCTAGACGAAGAAGAAAGAAAAAGAAGAAGAAGGATGGTGCACCTCCGCATTATGCTCTAGATGTTAGAAGGTACCTAAACGAAATTTTTCCGAACAGGTAGATTGAAAGACGTGGACATATTGAATGGCCAGCGAGGTCGCCAGATCTCAATCCTTTGGATGATTTTATGTGGGGTCATTGGAAGAATGTTGTCTATAAAACGAAACCTGCAAATATTGAAGACTTAAAAACAAGAATTCGTGAAGAAATAAACAATATTTCTCAAGATACCATAAACAAGGTTTTACAAGAATTTGTACAACGTTTGGGTTACTGTCAAATAAAACAAGGGCTACAATGCGAACATTTAAGATAAACTCATTTAATTACTGGATTACTTTCAAGTTATTTATTTCAATTTATTTATAATTTAGTAATATTAGAAATCATTAAAAATTAATTTTCTAAGCGCTTATCTTTCAAATTATATCCATTAGACTTTCAGTATTATACTTTTTTGGAATCAGCTTATTTTTGTCGATCTAAAAATATCCTAAAATACAGGGTGTTATATTTAAAAAAAGAGCCGATGACGTCATCATCTTAATGTGTACCACCTTGTATAATAAAATTTTATTGTAAAATGTAGAACATTAAATTTAAAAATCTATTTAAAGATTTTTTTCCTCATTCTCTCTCCGATTGTCGACAAGAATGTAGTGCATCAGAATAATTTTAATAATTTTAAACTGTTTGTCCTTTTGCTAATGTAGTGTTATGTACAATTTATATCCATTTTCATGCGTATTACATTCTACGGGTGCTGGATAGCCCATATTTGACGAAATGCCCCTAAAGATGCTAGATTAAGGGAAAGTACTTGGGCAAGATTTGATTAAACTTGTGCTCGATATTTGCCTTCATTTTCAAAGTTTATTTATTCAGGCATTCAACCTTATATCAATTATTTAAAGATTGTTGAGATTTTTTTAAAAAGGCTTTTCATTTTGAAAATGTCGAATTTATTCCATACTTTACGCACATCGTTAAAAAAATCTATATTCTTGAATGCTACAAACAATAGTCACATACTAAATTTATTAGATAAGTAGATAGTTTGCTAAAAACAAGGGCAAAATATCCAACAAACAAAAAATTTAAAAATCTTGATAGGAAAATATAAACTTAAAGGCCCAAAAGAAATAAAATTCGATGACTGAAGCTCAACTTAAAAATTTCCTAGAATTACCTAAACGTGTATAATCACACCAAAAAATATGACACAAAAACAAAGAAAACCATTATCCCAACGTAACAGAAAGAAGAAGCTTATAGCTTCTTCTTTATAGTTTCACTAAGAAACGTTATGGTAAATTTATTTTTTTTTAATTTTTACTACACCTACATAAAAAGTAAAACAGTACTCATTAGACCTAAGTACGTATAAAAATATTAGTTTTAGTTATGTAGATGGTGTAGACCTTACTGACAATTTAAAAACCGTATCACTTAAAAAATTAAATTAAGCAGTGTGAAACTAATTGTACATTGTTACTAACTACTTTAACAGTTAAATAAAGCTAACAAATCTATTTATCTGATTTTTTGATAAGCTTAGAAATTGTCTAGTTAGCTTTAATAAAAAAATTAAAAACTTACTCAAAGTTGTATCCGTCTAGCCTTAAATCATTGTTGGACTTAACTATTTGCGCCTGAGCATCTCCGTCGGCAGGCCTGGCTTCTATACAGGAAACTAGAAGAGCACCGAAAATAACAAAGTTTCTGGTTAGCAACATTTTCTTTGGAATCACAGACGCAAAGTACACTTTGCACCTAGGTGCATTTCTATAAAATAGCTGAAATGTGAGTAATTGTGGGGTTGCGCAATGCAATTGTTATTGTGATGCATCTTTAATCCAACTTAGTCGAATGAAACTAGATGGGTCGTCTGAAATAATTTATAAATTGTTTATATTTATAAAGATTTTAAATATTTAGGCTTGAGCACAAATAAAAAAGTGCAAGTAAAATAGAAAATTAAAGTGAAAGCCAAAAATAACAAAAAAAAGTATAAGCATTACAAATATTTCTACCTCTGGGAAACTACCCGAGAACAACGGCCGTTTGCCTTGCACCCTTGAAAACCAACTGACTATATTTTTTTTTCTTCAAAAACTAACTAAAGTCTCATTCTCAAACCAACCATCCCATCTTTTTCAATCTCATCCAATCAAAACGCGTCATACATCTCCCATTTCTTCATTTCGATAACACAAACAAATTTTTACCTACAATTATAAAATTTCCGAACATTACTTACGAACTATTCTTTTTCTACCAATTCTTATGAACTAACAAAAACATATCTTTCTAAAATCTATTCTATGGTCCTAATTACTGCATAAATTTATTTGGAAAACCCGCTTCCATTGTCTGAGATTTCACTTCTCAGAGCTCCTCACGTCACTCAAATATATTTTAACAAAGAAAATAATTTATGCATATCTTACGTTTTGTTCAATATAGGTAATACAAAGATAAAGGACTTTCATTCTTCGAAATGTTTGTAGATTATTATTCGACTTATCTGAATTATTTTAATTTTTTGAACTTTGAAATATTTTAAGCAAACCAATATTTTTCTCGATTTTACATATCATAACAATATATATATATATATATATATATATATATATATATAATATATATATATATATATATTGTATTTTAAATTTGGTTTAGAAACCTTACGGTCTATATAAAGCTATGGATTCTCTAGGTTTGCCTATATGTATAACACTGTAAACGTAAACATTTTTATCTTAAAAAAACGTTGTAGATTTGTGAACTAGTGTAGTGCATATTATGGTAATTAACACAAGACAACCCCTGGCTATAAACAAACAAGTTTATAACCAGTTGCTTCATTTTTATTAGCATTGAGTGTTTGGTCAATAATTTCTTTTTTTTGAAACTATTTTTAAATAATTAAGATTTAATAGGCAGAGATATATGGTATGAGCAATTCAAATATCTATGAATATTTTCCTCTTTTGGCTGTAACTCAGAGGGAAATGGAGTAAAAGTCGTTGCCACGCGTTAAAAAAATATATCTGTCTTTTCGTCATCAGTGCGTGCCCAATGTACGTTAGTCGTTTTGATATATGGTATATGTTGTTGTGGTTGTAACAATTTTCTGATAGCCTTCCAAAGGGTGTAATCTGTGGCTCCTAATAGAAACTCTCTCAGATATATTGATGTAATCATGATGTTAGTGTATTATTTAGATGAAAGCATTCTTTTAGGTCTTTTAGTGCTTATTTAAATGCAGTTGTATCGCATCAGCTTGTTAGCGAATTTATATAGGCTCTTTATGAAAATAATTATTTGGAATTAAAAACAACACTAGATTTTATCCAACCACTAGAGCAAGCCGGATTTAGGAGTGCCTTTGGAACAAATGACCGCATGCAAGTAATAAGGAATTTTCATCCTTCTCTTAACCTAACCTAACTTAACCTAACACCTTACTTTAAATAAAGGCTTCAAAATCACTTGCCACACTATAATATTCGACCTCTAATTTGTCGTTACCGATAGGGTCGCAAACACTTACATCTGCTAATTCGTTGCATTCGATACCCATGCGCAAAGGTATACACAAGTAGTTTACTGTTTTGAGTTTTTCTGAGAAATCACTAAAGTATCTTAGATCATAATTTCTGTGTCTGATTGACGTAAAGAAAGCGTTTGACAGAGTAAGAAAAATATGTAATACATCTTCTGTATAATAGAAAAGTTTCCCTAAGTATGGTAAAAACAATCTAAAATATCTACCAAAACAACCAAATGGAAGTCAAAATAGATGAACAACTTACAGAACTTAAAGAAATAGGCAGCAAAATGAGATAAGGGGCTTATTGAGCCCTATACTCTTGAATTATTTGATCAGGGATGAAATTGTCAAAAGCGTTAACAAAGGAAACGGATACAGAATGGGAAACAAAGAAATAAAACTATACTCTTACGCAGACAACGCAATATTGATAGCTCAAGATAAAGATAGTCTTCAACGACTGGTCGACATATTTATTATAAGATCAAAAGAATTTAATATGACAATTTCATCTCTAAATAATAATACTATTACAGTAAACAATACTAATACATAAAACTAAAACAATAGTAGTCAACAAAGAACCAACCAGATGTCAAATAAACGCATCAGCATTGAACAAGTAATGGAAATAAAATACCTTGGAATAACACTGTCTAGCTATGCAGACCTGAACAAAGAAATGAGAGATCAAGTACAAAAAGCAAATAGACTGGTAGAATTCCTTATTAACTCCATATGGTGAAACATCTAATTTAACACTAAAATGAAGTCAAGAATTTATAAAGCCAGTGTAAGACCAATAATGACATATGCCTCATAAACAAAATCCGATACAGCCACAACGCAAAGTCTACTGGAAACTGCATAGATAAGAGTACTGAAAAGAATTACAGGAAATACGCTAAGAGATCGAAAGAGAAGTGAGGACATTAGAAGAAAATGTAACAACAGTGTATAAATAAATGGACACAAAATAAAAGAAAAATATGGAATAACCACGTACAGATTGGAGGTGACCTTTTTCGTCAAAATAGCACAATATAAGTTACCAATCGACAATAGAATTATCGGACGACCGCGTAAACTTGCATAAAGCTATTAATTCGCCAATACTCAAGCAGAATCGCTTATGAAGAAGAAGAAGAAGTAAAAGAAGAGTTTTTCTTGGGCTTTGTGAAGTTCCAATTTTATCATTTTCTCTATGGGATGTTTAGAGTAAGCTTTTCATAGCTTTAATTATACTGAGGCTGTCGAAAAAATGACACTATAGGAGAAGTTTTTGATATTAATGTATTGTAGGGCTTTGAACAATGCAAAAAGTTTTGATAAGAATATGGTAAAATAAGTGGAAAGGTTCAAATTTGAAGGGACCATCTGATGTAATAATAGCTGCACCAACTCTCTGTTCGGTTTTTGATACATTGGTAAATACTTTAAACCAGTTTTTATACTGCTAGGGTTCAAGATAAGGTTTGGCCTTGCTTCTAAGATTACTGGGTTTTAAACACAATGAAGGTATTAGATTTTTATTTCGATGCATATGTCGCTCTGATGAGACCTAAAGTGTTTGGAATATGTATAATCGGCTTGCCGGCGCCCTGCATCAAAATCAAAAATCTAATACCGTCATTATGTTTTATTTCTTTACTCTGTTTGGAGTACCAAAAACTGAGTTCTTTATGAATTTTGACCATGATAAACGGCTTGTGAAATGCATATTTTAGATTCCCTTGCTGACCAATTCATCAATCTATTTGCTTTGCAAGTTGTAGAAAACACAATGGTAAATATTTGAATTCCTTAGTATTTAAGTTGAGTGATAAATTGATTTTCGGTTCCCCACTGATCCATGGAGGCCACTTGTTAAAGGAGATCACTGGAAAAATTTTTGAAAATTAAATATTTAATTCAGAACAGTACATTCGAATTCTTTCATAGTAAGGTTTTGGTGTAAGACCTATTACAAAAGTGTTTCATGTAATTATTGTTTAAAATATTGTTTTAGATTGTTCAAGATTTACTTGAATATAAGGTAATGTAAGTTTAGTGTATAAAACATTCTTTGTTTCTCAATAAGCTTTCAATGGGAGTTATCCGGAATGCTTCAAGAGCAATTCTAATGGCAAGATTATGTACAGTGTCAAATTGTTTAAGTGTTGTTGTTGAAGCTGAAGTGCTGTTGAATTATGGAATTGACCTGTAATCTGTTTTAGACCTTATTAACGTTTGATATACTTTTAATAGGGTTATTTAATCTGATTTGAAATGTATGTTAGCCATTGTTTATATACTTTTATAACATTCGAAAAGAGTCATGTCACAAGTCAAAAGCTTGTGACATGACAGTTTTGTTTTGGATTGATCAGGATTGTTTGGTGGCTAGCGCTTCATAGATGTCACTCCCTAGGTCTAAGATAATTTTACTTACCACAATCAGCCATTTTTAAGGACTATAAACAGCATCTAACCTCAAGTAACCTCAAAAATTCTACAGCCAGTAGAAAATTTACACACCGATAGTAGGATTTTCTTAATAATATCGCATTCCACTACACAAAACGGTACAGGTTATTTCCTAAAAAGTAGCAGCTTATAGCAACTACTAGCAGCAACTAAATTACAGGCATCTATATACCTAATGTCCGTTTAAAAGAATGGCTGCCTTAGTTGAGTTAATAAATATATAATTTTTATTACGTAAAAACAAGCAATCTTCAGTATAAGCTCGTTTTAAATGCATATTGGCTCATTCAAAAATATACGAAATAAAATTACTGTAATACATTTATTGTGTAATTTTAGTATATTTTGTTCCACTAATTGTGGCAAAAAGTGTCTAAATTAATGTTTACAAATTTAAGTTCAACACTCATGGCAGACAGTCAAATACCTGCAGTATAACAATCATAATCCAACCTGCCTTTGTTTTAAGCCATCGTATAATTTTACCAGTCTACACATATATTCAAAATACCAAACGGTTGACGGTTACTGCACATCTTCATTTAATTTTTGCAACTTGCAAGGATTTAGTGGTAATCGGTATTTTTACAACTATGAATGCAATTATGAAAATGTTACTTGCCTTTTTGAAAAGGTCACAAATAAACGACTTTACCAGGAACTATCATTATATAGTAAATGTTTTTTATTTTAAAATATGCTTGTGTATACAATTATTGAATTCAAATTAACCAAATCCAATTATTAGTTTATTTAGAAGACAGTTGAAGACGA